TATATTTCAATATAATTTTCTTTGTCATTGCAGTAATGAGAATCTGGGGTTTAAATGTGCTTAATTGTCATGGATAAAATATATATTATATAGTGATTATATAATGTCATAATGCAATAACTAGTTGTCTGAAAAATCGGCTTCATGCAAAATATAATTTCTGGACTTTTGTGATTTTACTAAACAAAAGCAGTTGCTATTGAAATACAACAACACAGTACATTAGTTTAAGATAAAAGATTATGACTTGGCACTTATTGCACCTAAAATATCTGCTGTATGATTAATATTTCTTAGCGGGAGGAGTGGAAAAGCACATTTTTTAGTTGGGCTTTGGTATGAAAAGAACAGAATTAGACCCAGTTATATTTGACTAGCTCAGATTAAAACCATCCTCGTCATTTGGGTAACAGAATTAAACCGGGTGAAGATGTGAAGTGCCATGAGCTTCAGTCTGATTAGAATTTCTAATATCAACTTTTACTGGACTTGTGTGTGTATATATTTACAGTCATTTATGAAAAAATTATTTTGCTTCTGATTTGAAACCTGCCCAAATAATCCAAACATGGATTGCTGTGCTGTACGTGACATAGGAAACTCTGTTTTTGCTGGTTTGATTTGATAGGTTTTTTATTTTTCTGTAAGCTCAACACTGACATTTGTCTGAATATGTTCAACCATGTTTGCGTCAGTAAATGTGACGCTGGTGCTTCATTTTAAGGGTTGTAAAAACTTCAACAAAACTATATGCACTTTCACATCGGCCACAGGTACAGAAATGATCACTAAATGTTTTGGCCCCTGCTTTAATTCATACGCAACAGCAAGAGCTTGTATACTCATTAAGGGTAAATGATTGTCAGATATTTTGCTGTATATTTATTTAACAGAATGGAACAAGACTTTCTCTGGCATTGTAAGATGACACTCCATGATCACTTTTAGTTTTTGTAATTATTCGTTTTGCCATCTATGCAGTTGTATGGATATGTATTCATCATCATGTATACTTACAGATTACGATGTCAAACTGTAACTCACAGTCATGCATTTAATGGATTTTCCCCATTAAAATGCGTGTCAGCTATTTGTTTTGTGCAGCATTTGTTCTCCAGAATTTTCGAATCATGTGGTACTGGCTTGATCTTTTTGCAATACTAGCAATACACGTATATCAAGATTATATGGTAAAGACTGACGTCTACATCAGCAAATATGTAGTTCATCTGTCCTGGAACAACGCAAGACAAACAACATCCGTGTGCATGAGACTTCCTCCTGTGATGGTGAAGGACACTTTCTGCCAACTGGGAGAAAAATAATTATTTGAGGATTTCTTTGAAGATATTCTGACCAAAGCAGCACAACACGGAGGATTCTGCTGGAAAGGGCACAGCATGCACACAGACGTAAGTGTGTTTTATTAGCGTTAGATCAGCTGTCTGCATCTCAACAGCAGCAGGTCAGTATTGATCTCTTGTTATTCGGCTTTTTGCGTTTTTAACCAAGCCTTTATTTAATGTATACATAGACTTATCGCAGCACCTGCCCTTGGTAAATACACCTTCACACTTCCTCACAAAATATTCTGGCCTAAATTCAAGATTTATATATTCGAATTGCATATAAAATGCATCCAGTTTGAAAACACAGAGAATAAAACCGCTCAGCTTTCTGTAATAGTGCTAATAAACTGAATGCTGGTTCATACTTTTTAACTGAATAAATTAAATTGTTTTCACGGTGAAAAGATTTATGCCGATTCGAAGCAATTTATATAAATGCATTTTGAAAATGTGTATTTAAAATCAAATAAACGCAAATTTTTTTGAGAGCAGAAATCTTAACTCTGACAAATGTATGACTGACAAATATGTATCACATTAGGTTTCTTAGTTCATGTTAGATGGAATTTCACAAATTTTATATGGAATTCAAATACATAAATCTTAAAGGGGTGGTTGATTGCGATTTCACTTTTTTAACATTAGTGTGTAATGTTGCTGTTTGAGCATAAACAATATCTGCAAAGTTACGAAGCTGAAAGTTCAATGCAAACGGAGACAATCAAGCCTAGAAAAAAAACAGTCAACCACATCTTTAAATTTAGGCCTAAATGTTTTTGGAGCGTACAAAACGATGCTTAAATACTCTTGTCATGTGTCTTATTACATATCTGAAAATAAAAAGATGAAGACAAAAATTTCGCTTCAGTTTGTAAGAAGAAAAGTCTAGTTTTGATCGTAATGACTGATGTACAGGAGCCGCTGAGAGACGTCAGTCCCCGACAGGTGAAGGTGATTCATTTCTCTAGTGGAGAGACTCTGACTGAGGAAGACTGTGAGGAAGAGGAGGCACAACATCAGCTTCATCAAGCGCCCAGTGTTTCTGACCCGGTCAGTATCGATGACAAACTCATCATATAAATGTAAACACTGTCAGGTATGAAAACAACCAAAGGTTGTTTTATATTTCACTTTTTAGGGAACCTGGACATGGAAGGATTATTCTCGGTTTTGGGGAACACAGATTTTGAGAAAGTCCTTGCTATGTAAGAAAAATCTGGAAAACACTTATAGCATATATTCTGATGGTCATTCACAGGTCATTGTGTAATTTTATAGGCTATTACATATTCATAAAAGGATATTGTTGTTGCGGTTTCTTTAATATTAAAAGGGTCTTTTAATGACTGAACGAACTTTCATGTCAGAGGTTTTACATTTACATTTACATGCACCCAAATATTCCGTTAGTAAGGATTGACGACTGATAAGCCTTTATGTAAACACATCAAACAATCCGATTTAGCTCGATTCGAATTAAATGGTGGTGTAGACCTAAAATAATCGGATCAACAAGAAAAATGAAGCACGTAAACGCTTTAATCCGATTCGAAAATAGGCTACCCTGTTGAAAAAACCAGCATATGCTGGTTAGGTATGTTTTGACGCTGGGATGCTGGTTTAAACTGGTCCTTTGCTGGTTTAAGCTGGCCCTTTGCTGGTTTATGCTGGGCCTTTGCTTGCTGGTTTAAGCTGGCCCTTTGCTGGTTTATGCTGGGCCTTTGCTTGCTGGTTTAAGCTGGCCCTTTGCTGGTTTATGCTGGGCCTTTGCTTGCTGGTTTAAGCTGGCCCTTTGCTGGTTTATGCTGGGCCTTTGCTTGCTGGTTTAAGCTGGCCCTTTGCTGGTTTATGCTGGGCCTTTGCTTGCTGGTTTAAGCTGGCCCTTTGCTGGTTTATGCTGGGCCTTTGCTTGCTGGTTTAAGCTGGCCCTTTGCTGGTTTATGCTGGGCCTTTGCTTGCTGGTTTAAGCTGGCCCTTTGCTGGTTTATGCTGGGCCTTTGCTTGCTGGTTTAAGCTGGCCCTTTGCTGGTTTATGCTGGGCCTTTGCTTGCTGGTTTAAGCTGGCCCTTTGCTGGTTTATGCTGGGCCTTTGCTTGCTGGTTTAAGCTGGCCCTTTGCTGGTTTATGCTGGGCCTTTGCTTGCTGGTTTAAGCTGGCCCTTTGCTGGTTTATGCTGGGCCTTTGCTTGCTGGTTTATGCTGGTCATTTGCCAGCACATGACCAGCTTAAACCAGCAAAGGACCAGCATAAACCAGCAAGCAAAGGACCAGCTTAAACCAGCAAAGGACCAGCTTAAACCAGCATCAAAACATACCTAACCAGCATATGCTGTTTTTTTCAACAGGGTACCTTGCGCATAAGCAGTAACCTACCGGAATATTTGTAAATGTTCGCTAAAGAGCTTTTCCGACATGACAAAAATATTTATTTTTAGATATGTCATCAAGGCAAAACGGCATTTCTACTCGCGGTCGCTCTGGTTTTGATATCATTTAATCGCAGTGGCTTCCTCCGTTCTGAACACAGTGATTGAGCACTGCGCATGCGCGTAAACTTCTTTTTTTAATAGATAAGCAAACGACTGAGGATGGAATATTAGTGCATGTAAACATTGCTATATAATGTCTTTACTGAAGATTTAAGTGTGGATGCTAGAATACAGTTTTTTATATCGAAATACAAATTCTAATGAATTACGCATGAGCTTCGTACGATAATACAGAAATGCTAATGTACAACACTGTGTTAAACTCTATTAAATGTATTTAATCATTATAACTCACTGTGACTTAATTTCTCTGTAGTTTGTGATTTTCTTGGAGAGAAAATGGCTGGTTTGCTGGGTCTGAACGCTGCCAAATATCAGTATGCTTTTGACCAGTATCAAAGAGAACATAAGGTAGATTAGTTTCCTAAAACTTTCAGCAGTACTCTTATCAAAGTTAGAAATAAAGCCAGAAAGGGTTTTTTTTTGCTTGATGTTTTTTGGAGAGACTCTTTTAAATTCCTCCAAAACACAAATCTGAAGAACTAACAATGAAGCCTCAAAGAATTTTGTTGAGGGTTGTTTACTTCTTCTTCTTCTCCTTGGTGTTTAATGGCGGATGGCATACAACTTTTAGGTGCATTACCGCCACCTACTGATTAGGATTGAGGGTTGTTTACTGAACCTACAGAGCTTTTATTTTGAAGACACTAAGAAGCCTGTCATAGAAAATACAAATTGTTCATGTGAAATTTCATGAAAGGTTGTCACATTGTTTATAAATGGTTAAATGTATAACTGTGAGTGTTTTGTTTGTGCAGAATGAAACAGAAGGAGAAGTTTTGTCCGCGAGCACCGGTGTGAATGATGAGGAGATAATTAACCTGTCAAAAATAGCAAGCAAACAGTATGGAGCCACAAATGTGCAGGACCTGACACAACAAACCCTGGAAGAAACGCTACGATATAAAGGGGAGCAGAACGAAGGATACAACTCTAATGAATAATGGATCTAGAAGATCTAAAAAAAAAAAAAAGTGAATTGTGATTTTTCTTTATTTCCTTGTTTAATGTATGGCCATCACACTAAGCATTGAAGGTATTTCTAATACACAAATAAAAAAAACTTTGGTTCTTCAGTCCAAAATCATCATTATTAGTCTTTTAGATTTAAAGTTGAGCAGCGCTTATTCAAATTTAGGCCGCTTACTCATACTACATTTCCCGGCTTGCACTTCGGTAATGCAACGTGTGACTGAAGGGTGCGCATGCGCAGATCTCTCGCTACTTTAAGCGGCTGGCATTATAAAATATTGATCTAAAACGGGCGGGGTCTGTTATTTCTGACTGGCTGTAAAATCGTGTTTCTACTGTGAGGCTTCTTCTAAATTTAGGTTCGATATACATAGCTGGTTGTCAGTAAAAATGGAGACAATTCCTCCTATAACCCAAAAGATGTCCTCTTTTTTTAAGTGTGATTTAAATTCATCCTTCTCTGATGTTGTCATGTTGATGGGTAAATATCCTATCCATACTTGTAAATGGAAAAAAAGTAAACCCTCCTTCAATATATTTTTATTTGAGTTTGCTAAAATGTTTCAGAGCTTCAAATGCTTCAAAAAACATAATAGAAAATCTGAAAAGTTATGCTTCTCTTTGTCAAATTATTTATTACTTTAGTATCTTTTTTCTTTATAATGTCTACATCGACTACATCTTTGTTTTCATCCTTGCTCCTTGTGTTTATTTTTGTATTTATTTCTTTTTTATGTTTTTTTTTCTTCTTCTTCTTTAAAGGGATCCTATTATGCTTTTTCACTTTTTTAATGTTAGTCACTGTGTAGTGTGTATGTTTGGGCATAAAAAAGATCTAGAAAGTTAAAAATCTCAAAGTCCACTCCAAAGGGAGATATTTCGGTTTTTAAAAATCCCTTTTCAAGAATATTTTGTTTTTTCTTCTTCTTTAATGTAAACTCTGTGTTTGTCTCAATGGAAGACATTGTTGGTTGTTCCCTGTCTTGTTATGTACATTAAGCAATAAAAAAAAAAAATCGTGTTTCTACTATTTTAAATAACTTTTCAATTGAATAGATATTAACGTGTCTCGGTGCCGTTGTTTAAGTGTTGTTTACCCTCATGACCGCTAGCGACGTGAAGCGGCGTGCGGAATTGTCACGTGGTACGTGTTACATTTCTCAGCGCTGTTCAAAATGAACCAATCACAGCCGTTTGTGCTTACTAGAGATTATTTTTTAACATAAAAATATAGCGCATCCGCTATGGTAGATTTCTAATTGTGAATCCCATAGTAATTAATATTAATAACAAACTAAAAAGATTATATGTTGTTTAAAAAAAAATCCCCTCAATAAGAAAAATTGTGTTGAAATTTTGAATAGAACCCAATGAGAATTATGATTTCTGGGCCACCGAGCGCCCCCTACCGGAACAACAGCTCATGTCTCTTGCCATTAGAAACACTTGCCGCCCAATGCTAACAACAATGGAGGAGAGGTTAATAGCAGCGGTGTCGGACTATCCCGAGTTATACAATTCTACAATTAATTCATATAAAGACGCTGCTAGAAAAGCCAAAGCATGGAGAGCCGTGAGTCTGCAAGTGGAAATTCCAGGTAAGTTAAGAGTTGCGGTTTCTCAAGTTGTTTGTTGCTTACTAAACTGCTAGCTGTGTGCTGTTAGCTTGTTGCAGAGTAGGCTAACAGGAATCCAGATTTGAAGATTTAATTTATAACTAATGAATGCTGTTTCCGTTTCACCATAGACCTAACAGAACGTGTATTTGAGTTGAAAAGGCATTGGGTTAATCGGCTAGATATGACACTTAACTGTACGCAAACATGAGTTGTTTTGAGTTTGGTGATCTGCACAGTAAGTGGGATTTGATTTCATTGAAAGTTTATTGAGTTACTGCTGAATTCGATTTTGATGCACAAAGCGATATTTTTAACCGGAGATGCATCAGTCAGATTTGGTTTTGCATCGTAAAAATAATGAGAAAAATAAGTTTAACATCTTTAGTAATTTAGTTTACATTTTTTTTTGATGCCGTGTGCATAAATGCATGCATGTTAGACATCATTTGCAAAATACATTACTGAATATGTTTTTAATATGCTGGGAAAGTTTTACATATTCACTGTAACATGTTGTAAATTATGATCTAAAACATGCATATATTTTTTCCATGCAAGAAATTAGTATTATTGTTCAATATTTAATTTTTTATGAAATTAAAATTAAATATACTCGTGCTTAAATTGCTACTTATTGATAATTGTAAGATTTATTGTTTATTATGTCGTTAATATGCTTAATTCACAATTTCTAATTGTAAAATGTTTGTATATTTAACTAATATAATTAACTATAGTAATTAAAGTATAAATGTATGTATGCATATTCAAAATAGATGTTTATTTTACAAGTTATATTAATGATTATCATTGATTAAATCACTATTTATTGATTATTGTAAAATTATTAGTTATTTTTATTAAATATACATATGCTTAAATTACTACTTATTGTAAGATTTATTGTTATTATTAATCAATATGCATAAATCACTATTTATTGATTATTGTCAAATGTATTGTTAATTATATTATGAATTAAATATAGATATGCTTAAATTACTATGTATTAATAACTGAAAGATTCATTGTTAATTATATTATTAATTAAAATGGCTTAAATCACTATTTATTGATTATTGTCAAATTTGTTAATTATATTATTAGTTAAATATACATTTGCTTAAATCACTATTATTGTTTTTTTTCTTATACAATGTATTATTTATATTAATAATTTAAGATACGGTTAAATCACTATTTTTTGCTTATGTATTATTTATTTGATTAATTAAACATA